ACGCCACCGAAGCGAAAGCAGTTGGAAAAGTCCGCCTTTCAGGGATCTATGCTATGTGGATGAAAGCGCTTGTTGTCATATATATATATATATGTATAAATAAATAAATAAATATATATATATATATGCACACACACATACAGACTCCGTACACATAGGGTTGTGCCTTTGGGTGGAACTTAAGCTTTCGATTTCAGTCAAGGCTGCAGAGTTCAGCTCAAAGCACAAAACACATTTACACAAAAATACAACCTGATTCTCGCGCGAGGGGGAGATTGCTGCTGTCCCTGCCTTCAAGCCCTGTAGTAGAAGAGGGAGGGAGGGAACGAGGGAGGGAGGGAGGGAGGGAGGGAGGGAGGGAGGGAGAGAGGGAGTGAGAATGCTGAGCAGGCTACAAGACGAATCCGTTGTGCAAAAAGCCTTGGACAAGCGATGTGGTTGGGCGACCCATCATTGCCCGCAGCCTACGCATGCAATCGCTCACAGCAATATTTATGCTTGCAACTCCGGCCCCAGGACACGACGGCCACACTTGTGCAGCGAGCTATCCGTGTAGGCCACCCGAAGAAGCCAGGCTATGAAGCAGAGGTGTTCTGACTTGCTCTTCACTTCCTGCCGGCCGTGCTCAGCTTAGGAACGGCATGCTGAATCCCAAGAGCGGCCAGAACGCACAAAGACACTAGGAAGCGGAGCTCGTGCTGGTTTCAAGATGTCCTCGAGGCATAAGCTGATCTCTTTCTGAGGCGATGTGGTGATTCCGAGGTCATGTGCGCGCCCAGCTGCCTGGCACTAGTTGAAACTCTTTCAGTTGGAAGCTGGTTTACCAGTTTTCTACATGCACCGCATGCTCTTGAGTCTTGAGGTGCCGAAGATATTGCACTTCATTTGGCTGTGTTCGCCTCTCTCTGAGACTCGAGCTAGACACGTTCAAGGATTTGCAGCTTGGCGAGAATCGTTAAACATGGTGCTGCTTGTGATCGATCTGATCATGTGGCTCATAGCTGCGGAACGGTGTCATGAAGACACGCATATAAACTGGCTTAACACTGTTGTGTGATCTCGCCTGATGTCCGTAAGGGTGCATCTAGAATGTGCGATTCAATGGCGGCAGCATTTGGTCGGCATCCTTGCTTCTTTTGGGTGTAGAGGGCTGTCGCGACTTCTGCGATTTGCTGCCAGCTTCCTCACCGGATGTGCCAGCCAAGCTTATGATGGCGCAGGCAATCAAGAATCCCAACTACCGCATTTTGTTCTGGACTGACACGGACGGGGCTTTCTGAAATCCGAGTTGTTCACACATTAGCTCAGACAGCGTCCATGCTGAAGAGGAGGTCCCACTTCTTTCGAAGATGATCCTGGAGAACGGAACATCTGCACGCCCAGCCGGTGGCATTGAAAGAAAGGACATTTCAACTTCCTATGGTGCGGCTTCGTATCCTGCTCAGTAGGCAGTTCAAGCCGCGGAATGCAGGACGCATACTTGGAGGCCTTCAGTCCTTCAGTGGGCTTCCAGCCCAGGAGTCATCTTTCACGGTAGCCCGGTTAGCTCCTACTTTGAAAGGCAATGCTCCGGGTGGGCAGGCGGGAGGCTGGTGCACATCGGTGCAGGCGCAGTCCTTCCAATCGCTCCGCGTGATCCGGCACCTGGACACCTTTCATGAGAACAACCGGAACCCAGGCAAGATACGGTGATTACGGTGACGTTGGCGACTGTTGGACAAGGGCTTGGGCTTGGGGTACGTGTGATGTCGGAGCCGAAAACAGCTGCCTCAGCCTTCTCGCTTGTTCGCTGCGTCCTCCCGCAATGACAATGGAAAGTTTCAATTGATGGTGGTGGCAATCCTGTGAAGCACAAGCGTCGTTTCTTCTTTGGCTTGGCGCCGAAAACCCTGGCAGGTGTCTGTGCCCTGAAGTCTCATTTCTGGCGACTTGAGGCAGATAGTTGCAGCCGGTTTAGCCTCTTAGGGCTGGCTCGGGACAGGCACCACTGAAGTACGGTGGCATTTACATTGACATGGACCACGTGGCAACTCGTGGCTTGGCTGGTCTTTGAAATGGTCTTTGAAGGCCAAAGGGCAGGGCCACAACTCGAAGACACGCCAATGGGGAGTCTCGGTGCTCGAAAAGCATGGAACTCCAAATCCAGAACGACGGGTCTTAAATGTATCCGTTGCCTGCCTGGGAGATGTGTGCAACAGTAAGTGAGCAAGTGTAGTAGTGTGGCCCGTGAGTCAGAGGAGTAGTCGTGGCCAGCGAACCCAGGCGGCTTCGACGAAGTCGGAGGTGAGCTTTGGCGATGGCCCTTCGTCACGCACAAGGCTGGAAGCTGGCAGGATTCCTCTCGTAATCAGCAGCTTCGCGGGACTTCTTGGAACGATTAGGAATGTTCTTACAAAGCCGGGGAGCTTTGAGCCAGGTATGCGGTGCCAACATTGGCAATCACATCTTCAGTGGTGACAAAGGCGGCGCCCATCCATGTCTGGCAGGTTGTTTCAGACCTAGCCTGGCAAAACGTAGGCTCTGGATTCTTGGATTTTGCCATCAAAGTCATCATGGAGCGAAATTCGACTGCATTTTCATTGCCTTGAAGTGATTTCACGAATTAAACTGCAGAGCTGTCCAAGGTTGCGAGAAGCTGAGCTCCTGCAATGTTCTGGAAGGCATGACAACCAAACTGAAAGCACAGTTCATGACGACATGCACACATGCCGATGAGGCATTCGGTTGCACCATGGAGTGTTCCTGGAATCAGCAACCTATGTAATGTACTTAGAGTTTACTGGTGCTCGAGCATCTCAGTTTCTCCTGACGATTGCTGAAGAGAATCCAATGTGAATGCAGCTGTCTTTGTGGGTCCAGTGTTGCCAGCTTTGCTAACCCGAGTGCATGTGCATTCAGGAAGCAGCTGCGAACACATGCACACGCGCACACACGCAAACACACGTCTTTAAGTCACTTGGGTGTTGATCCATAGTGATTCGAGAGCTATTGATGAAGTGGAAGTAAAATAGTTCAGACATGAATATCATTTAATATAGCCATCTAATATAGCTACACAATTGCACGCAGCATCAATGCAGGTGACCTCAAGAGTCTCCCTGCCACCAATGGTATGATATCAAAGACAATAAGCACCGGCTTCAGAAGATTGAATAAAGCTGGAACCTTGAAACCCTGACATGCACTCCGAAGCTGCCAAGAACTGTACATGCAAACACACAATGCTTGAACATGGTCCCTGATCTGATGCCACGCCACCCTGCTTTGTTATTGTTCGTGATACAAATGGAAGTGCCCGCTCGGCAGCCCGCCCCGCCCGCCCACGCACATGCGGACGCATATACACACTCACATGCACCGACATGGAGACAACGCCGGGAATGAATACCTTCCTTCATGCAGCTTAAGTTTGTGAACTTGAGCTTGTGCAGTATATGCACGCTAGTGTCCTTGTACGTCCTTGTGCTGTCCTGAATCTCGCAACACATCTACGCTAACGACGACCCAATACGCATCCGAGGGAATGCAAATCAACAGGATCAAGACAGCTCGGATGCCTTGCCCGCAGTATGGTTAGCCGTGAGATGCCGAAGCCCTGTGTGAGGCACGGGGCCGCCACCATTCGCGATGAGTGTCTTCCACCCAGCTTGGCAACCGCAGGCAAGGGTTGATTTGGCCATCTCTGCAATCGAGAACCAGGTTTTGCGGTACAATGCCTCTGACATGGCTTTCATCGGAGACGCGGGGTTGCAGCAGAGCTACCAACTGCTCGTGGCAAAGCATTTCTCAGCTGCACTCCTGTGATGAGTAGAATGTGAATACGGCGTTTGCAATACGTTGACCGCACAAACCCTTGGAGCAGTGGGCCGGGTGGCAACCAAGGATCAGTTCTTCGGAAAAACTGGCATAGCTGCGCACAAGGCGGAGCACTCGTGGAGGTGAGATGCTTGGTACCAAACTGGGCCCCCAACACCAAATCAGTGGGACGAGCCATCCACGACTTCGGGAATCGTCGCCGACCTCGTGATGCTGAAGGCTCCCCATGACGATCGCAGGCCTACATCAGCCAGAGGGCATTATCTTGAGCTTTCAGTGGACCTTGTCACCTTCCCGACTTCGACATTGCCTGCTGCGGTGAGTCAGCGGCGCACAATGTGGAGCTGTGCTGAACGTGGAGATGTTGACCTGAGTTGACCTGTCTGCACGCAGTCGCCAAATGTGCTGGCAAACAGGTAGGATGTCAGAGCCGTTCGCGCACTTTCAGGCCATGCGTCTCTTTTCACGCGGGTCCAGGGTAGTACTGTCTCGAACAGGAACAGCTGCTTCTGTTGTAGGTGAAGATAGTCCTCCTGCATGCTGATCCGGGGAAGCAGTCAGTCATGAGGACATGAATTCAAATTCAGTCGAAGCAGTCCCGCAGCGAGTTTCAAGCACGAGAAGCGAACGTGAGTGCGATTTGCGCCTGCCCGCCGGATTTTCGTGGCCTCGCCTCGGCCTGCAAGCTCGCGGTATTCTTGGAAGGAATGTAATAGAACAGGAGCCAAACTTAGAGATCAACGGCAAAAGGGTAGATGCTTTTTCAAGTGACATAATGCACATGACAGACTCAAGTGACAAGACTCATCGAATTTACGCAGCCCGATAAGCGGCCATGTCTGCAACGCAGGGTCGCCACCCTTGTTTCCTCGGACTTGCTGGAAGGACGTTGCGCCTGCCACTCACCGGAACTCTGCCAGTCTTGACAGGTGCTACTCGTGCTACTGCGTTGCTTGCCAGCCTCAAAAACAGAAGACAGGCATGGTTGCACCGCTTGTCTCGAAGAGTATGAGATGCGTCGAAGGTTGTGTGATGTTGTATGCACGGGCCAGAGTGCTGACTCGTATTGGAGGTAGATGTACCTCCTGACAGACGGAATGCTGCCATGGCCCGAAGAGTGTTACACAGAATGCTGACACTCACGGGTCTTGCAAAACAGGCAAGTCATGCAAACATTATCAGTTTTCGCAGCTTGGTGCTGTATGCTTCGTATTCTGGATGACAGCACTTCAGCTTCATGTCCTGCTGTCTTTCGTTTTCTTCTTCTTTCCTTCCTGCTGTCTTTGTTTCTGTCTTTCTTGCCTTCATTGTTTTCGTTCTTTTTGTCACTCCCGTCTCTCAGACAAGGCGGGAGAGTTGCTCGAGAAGACCGCGCACTTTTTGGAGGCACGCGCAAACAAGAGGAGAAAGGACTGCCTGAGCGAATGCCAGGAAGGCATTTTTCGAGACTTGACTGGGATGGAAATGGAACGTACATGAAATATTGGGTGTGCGCTTTGAAAGGAGGAGGGTCCCTAGCGCCGTCCCTAGTGCAGAAGGCTACTTCCGTTGCGTAAGGTTGTGTTGCGTAAGGTTGCGATTCGTGTGAGTCGATTCAGGTCTGAAGGAAACAGTCCTCTCTGCATCACTGTTGCAAGATGCCAGAGCAACAACCAGAAGAAGAGAGCTGCAGTCCCTGAGTCCTCTGTCCTTGTGGCACACCCGGTAGCGATTGAGTCAGCCTCGTCAAACTGGTCGTGTTTTTGCTTTGCTTGATGCGACATCAGGCGAGGGGATTGTCGTGTCTTCTTCCCGGGCACACGGTGTTGAACGAGGATTATCGAGTTGAGATGCAGCCAGTCATTGCCAGGCAAGGGAGACAAGCAACCCTCAAGATGCGACGCACCAGGCAGACTATGATCAGACGACACTTAGGAATGCAGAACCAGAGACACACGCCTCCAGGTGCTAAAGGAATTCTCGGATTGGTGGTGTGGTGGCCGATGCCTCGATGTGCAGCTGCATTCAGGAAGCTGCTGGCAGTTTTGGGGTACCGGTTTCTGGCCAGGCCAGAAGAACACCAAAAAACTTGCCATCGCAGAGACCGGCACGCTGGAGGTTCTGTACGAGCGTGGCTCTGAGTGGCTCAGCGCCGTCTCCTCCCAAGCACGGACGCAAGCCAGACTGTTCGAGGGATGCGTGCCTGCAGTTCTAGCAGCCTGGCTGGGGGCAGTCTACGGGTGGTCCTGGGAATGCGCCAAGTGCGGTGCGCTTTGAGGTAAGATACGCCCCAGACCAAAAGAACAAAAAGGAGAGAGACGGCACATGGTCTCTCCCGCTCCTCAAGCAAGCCCGAAGCAGAGAGTGCTTAATTCCTAGAGCCAGACACAAGGAGAAGATACGGCAACAAAAGCCAAATGCCATGCGATCTTGGCGTCTCCGACGGGTGACGAGCGTGTCGCTGCTTTGGATGTTCTTTCAAGAATTCTCAGGACATTCGGCGTTAAATTGCAAAGCCACCAAGCTCGAGCTACGTCAAAGCGAAAGCTTTTTCCACAGACGTGGTCAATGAGCCGGTGGATCAGAAACAGTGAAAAGAAATCCTGCTCAAAGACGCATGACAACATTGCTGCATAAGAAGAACAAGGGACAGGTTTGCTGACAACGGTTTTGGTGAATCAAGGTGCCGGGTTGAACATGGGAAAAACAAGCAAGCAGGTGGGGACAGGGCCTCCGGACTGTTGCTGTATAGCAGGGCTTACCTCGAACATATTTCCAGGAACCTCCGCTCAGACTGCATGCATGTGGCGGAGTGAAGAAGCTTTGCAGATCAGTGCCTGAAAAGGTGCCTGTGCCACTCGCATGCACACACACACACACAGACATACACACTCGGTTCTGGATTGACACAAAGGCATATCGCCAAGATGTTCGAGCTGGATGCCCCCCTTACTCTAGGCCTGCTCTGCGACAGATGGGGGTTCCAGTTCTGAGAGAAGTTGGCACGTGCCTAGACTCTGCAGCATGCAGTGGCAATGACAACAGCGACACAGGAGAGAGGCGGACTGAGCAGTTCAGTTTCTTCCAGGCCAGTTGTTCACTATTCACTATTCTTGATTTGACTAGGAGTGGAAGACCAACGCGAATCTCGAACACTCTCTCAGGACATTGAAATCCGTGGCAGCAAGGACAATAAGATCGACTACAGGGACATTGCTGGCCCAGACAGTGCCTTTCTCCACCTGCTAGGACACCGTGCTGTGGCATTCTCAGCTGAGTTGATAAAGGAAGTCGGATAGTTTAAGATCACGAAAGCTAGCCTCCGGGGCTAGCCGGGTTTCTTATCAACCGAAGGTTGCAACAAGCTGTGTGGGGAAAGGACCCCCCAAAAATAGATCAAAATGCTGCCAAACAGTGCCGGTTTCCCGAGCTAGACTGCACCTGGAGCTGCATTTTCCCGCCTGACGAGACTCCCTCCTTTTCGGGCATGAAAAGGGAGTGTTTGGGCTTGCCCTGGAACGGAGCAACGAGCCGCCAATGATGCTCATGATGCTGGCCTCCCAGGCCCGGCAAGGCGCCAATGATGCTCAGAACGCTCGCCGCGCCGGCTCGGCCGGGCATCAATGATGCGCAAGATTCTTTTTGAGTGGCTTGCTTGGCTCGCATGATGTTCGGTGCTGTCCTGCGCTTAAGCTCTTCCGCCCAAATGAACCGAGATCAGCAACAAAACTCCGGCCGGCTTCAAAAGTCCGCTTGCCTGCCTCGGCTTGTCCACTGCTGCTCTGCCCTAGCCTTCGTCCCAGTGCCTCCTCCACAAGTTCAGAATGGAGCTGGCTAGTGTGTGCATACGATCCCATCTTCAAAAGAAGGGCCTTGTTGGTCTTATTGGTTCCAGTGGTCCAGGACGCATCATGGCAGAGCTTTACCCGAAGCAGCAGTTGCAGGTCATCGTCCTGGATGCTTCGGGACACAGCAGTCTGCTCCACAGCCTTTGCGCACTCCCTTTGGGAGCAATGTTTTGCAAGCCTTGCTGAGACAAACTCGGCGTGGAACAGACAGCAGTGCGCCTGGTGTGGTTTGGGACTCGGACATTTGAATCTCACAGGCTTTTAAGCCAAAGTCCTGGTTTGGAAGGCAACTTACGTCTGGCTCGACCTGGCCTTAATGCTTTCCATGGTGTGATTACCCACGCAAGCTCATGCTTGTGTGTGTCCAGGAGTGGCGGGCAGAACATTGTTGTCACTTCGGAGATTGCCTTTCGCATCGTCGACTACATGGTGCCGGAGACCCGAGGGAAGAGCATGCATGTGCTATGGTGCCAGAGCCGTCCAAGCGTGAGGCTGAAAGCCAACGAGTCGACAGACCAGAACATCAAGGAAATCCACCGAAGAGCATCTACACTTTCGAATGCCGGGTGCTGAGCAGGTTGTTAATTTGAGTATGCTCGGGGATGAGTCATGGGAATTAATAAGGTAAACACATGGAAGAACATGTTCGTCAGCGACGACAATTACGGCGGCAAGAGGCACTTGCTTTGTTGCGGCATTTCGCCGACAGCATATTTTGCTTGCTGCACAGCGGATGAATGTGCAGTGGGATGTGAAGCACCCTGAAGATTTGTTGAGAGCCTTGTTGATCTCGGAACTTCCCCCTACACAAGAACGGTTTAGGATTCGCTTCCCCGAACGTGAGATGCGGATTGCAGCAGAGCCTTGATTTCTGTAGGGCACCTCGGTCTGTGTGACTCCCTTTCAGTCTCCTTCTAGCTTCTGGCTTCCTGGTGGCTCTATGCATCTTTCCATATCTTTCCCTGTTCCCGGTTCGCTTTGGATGGGCCATGCCCAGCCGGCAGCGGCTACTGAACGGCTAAAACCTGGGCTACCGTCAAGGATGACCACTCCAGACCTGAAGCGCCAACTCGCGGAAATCAATAGCACTGCCCAGCAAACGAGATGCTCTCCGACGCTTCCTAGTAAAGCTCACAGCCGTTAGACGTGGTCAAGAGCTGCCCGATTGAGCACAAAGCTCTACTGCCGCTTCCAGCGTGGTCCAACGTGAACTTGCACCCAAAGAGTTACCTTCATTTTCTTCCTGGTGTACTTCTTTGTTATTGGCTCTTGTCATGGTTGATGGAATGGACCTGTGGGAGTCGAAAAAGGGAACCAGCCAAAACCAACTCTAACAGCGTCTTCCAAGCCTTGAAACTCTAACCCAAAATCTGTCAGACCCTCAAACCTTCACGACCCATGATGCAGAGCTAGGAAGCCCTAAGTCCCAAATCCTTAAACCCTAGGCCCAGAGCCATACCGCCCGAAACCTGACTTTAAAGCTCATGCTAGAGCCCTTAGCTTAGCCCTGCAGCCCCAGTATTGAAAGCACGAAACCCGTATTGATTCCATGCGACGGCCTGGAAAAGCGGCGACGTAGACGGTTTCAGCCCCACCAGGCCGCCAGGCCACCCCTTCCCAGAGTCCCAGATTCAGGGGGGCCGAGAGAAGATCCCCGAAGTCCCACATGAATTCATCCGATTTTGAGCTGCAGGTCCACCATCCGGATGACCTTGAACGACGAGGTCTGCGACCCTCCGATGCTGAGGCGACCATCAAACGGAAGAGCAAGAGAAAGCCCCAGTGCCATAAACAGTTTGCGCACCCCCCCAACCCCCAAACCGTAACAACCTATACCTCAACCCTAAACCCACCGAGAATAATTTATCTACAATAGGAATAAGGTTTAGGAATAAGGCAAAAGTAAGAAGCAATAATAATAATATTTTGTTGCGTTGTTTAAGGCATAAATGTCCACGAGCCCACGCCATCCCAGCTTTCTTCAAGTTGTCGTTTCATTTATAACACAGCTCATATTGTTCAAACTTGGTTTTGCCTTTTTCATCAACTAAATAATTTAGGACTTCAACGAAGGCAGTTGCAGTTTGCAGAAGTCCCGATGCATGGGTTGAAGCAAATTGCACGGCCTTCTTCCACGGCTGTTGCTTCTTCACCAAAAATTTCGTCCCAATCCACTTCCACCCTAGCAGCGCCTCTGTTTTCACATGCAATCTTGGGGCTGCATGTCCGGCAAGCGCTTATGGTATTGTGGCAAAGGACATCTGCTACTACCCGGGGAACATGCTACGAACATCTCTTCAGGAAGTCTTGACAAAAGTGCTGCAACCAAACCAACCATAAAAAGCGAACCCCAACCAAGCCCACTCACTCTTCTTATCCACCTGCCGAAGAATGTTAATAAATTCCATGCGGAATTTTGTGGTATTCTCAGAAGAATATTCAAATATTCTGCGCAGAATTAATTCTGCATGCAGCACAAAGTCCAATAGGTAGGGAACGAACAACAACATTGCAGCCGGAACTGTAGGAGTCTGAACGTTGGACTAAGTTTCTCGCCAACTCGCAACTTAAGTGGAGACGCGCTGTTTCAAACATAAGCCGTGCTATAGCTGCTATAGCTGCCCACAACTTCAAGCGACTTGTTTGTTACTACACCTTTAACAACTCAAACCGCAAATACTGCCTATCATCACCTTCAACTCTATCATGGTTTGACTTAATTTGTTTTCAATATTTTCTATTGTAAAATGGGTGGTGTGGAACTTAAGTTTCATTACTTGATGATGAACTCTGAATATGGGTGTTCTAATCATAACTATATGAAAGAAATTTACGAACATATGGATGATTTTGATCTACTAAAAAAGAATGGGGTGGTGAACTTGATACATTAGGTGGCATTCAAGCAATGGAACATAACGCTTTTGCCTTCGTTGAAGTCCTAAATTATTTAGTTGATGAAAAAGGCAAAAACAAGTTTGAACAATATGAACTGTGTTATAAAATGAAACGACAACTTCAAGAAAGCTGGGATGGCGTGGGCTCGTGGAAATTTATGCCTTAAACAACGATAATATTATTTCAACAAAATAATGTTATTCTTGCTTCTTACTTTTGCCTTATTCCTAGACCTTATTCCTATGATAGATACATTATTGGAGAATACCATTCCATTTTCTAAGGTTAGGGATTTCGGGCTGGGAGTTGTGGGTTTTTCTATGGAGGTGTGGCTGTATGGGGTTCAGGGTGGGTTTTTTGTATGTGGGTCTTGGTGTGGGTCTTCTCGTGGTTCCATCATGTGGGTCTTAGGTTGGGTTTTTCGGTGGGTTTAGGGTTGAGGTATAGGTTGTTGTGGTTTGGGGGTTAGGGGGGGTGCATGATTAGAAAATGGAAGTGGTATATGCTAACTTAAACTGCCCTTGAAGCCTTGCTGCATGCCAGGCCAGAGAAGCGGCCTCTTAAGCCTGTCTTCATCCATCGGTGCGCTGATCTGTTTGATGTTTGCGGCCTCTCGCAAGCTGTCCCGCTCGCCAGATTCTCCAGGGAAGAGAATGCGCAGGATTGGGATGCATTTGGGCTCAGATGGGCGACACCCACCTCAGAAATCTTGTTCAGGATTTGAAGATGGAGCAGGTCTGGTCCTGCGATGAAGGCAGACATGCAGAAACACAATGTCTTGGGTAGGGGCTGAGGATGCAGTCTAGCCGTGCTGTGTTGGGACAAGCTGGTCGGAGACAACTTCATCGAGAATCCGGCTCTGGGTGCCTTGAGGCCAACTGGGCTCGGCGGAGTATGCAAAGTTTGTGGAGAGGACGGCCATTCGTCAGGCAACCGGCCACGCTCCTAGCACGCGGCTATCTTTGGTTCGAGACTTGTACTGTCCACTTGTTCAAAAGCATCAGATTAGTGGGGAAGTGCTCTCCATCAACAGCTCACGCTGGTGTCTTCCCCTTTCAAGGTCATTATGTAGTGACCACCGGGGCCATGTCGGACTGTGCTTTAGGCGTCGTCCAAGATTCAGAGGATCCACGATACTGCTGGGTGCCAACTGATATCCAGCGATGCAGTGACTTGGTGGATGGCAGCCAGTGGATCTCAGCGCTTGAGCAGCATCTCAAGGCAGAGCCAAAGCCAAGCAGGCAGCTGAGAATGACTGTCAGCGAGGGAGACGCTCCACAGTTCTGGGCATCGGCTGCACACACGCTCCGTGCTCGAAATGATGCCTTGCGCAAGATGCAGCCTCCGGCAAGGAAGGTGAGACTGCTGACGCAGCATGAGGTGCTGTTCTGGTTCAATGTCGGGCCCGGCGTGCAGAAGAGAGATCGAGTCTATGTTACGGAATCCACATGCCCCCATCAGGGTGTCTGCTTACTGGCCGGAGAGCTTAAGGACGTTGAAGACATCGTTAATGAGGAGACAGTTCCGATGGTGCGCTGCCCTCGCCACAACAAAACCTTTGATCTCAGGACGGGCGAATCCCCGGGCAACTGTGAACGACTTCGCGTATTCCCCTGCAAATTCCATCAGGGCCGGTACTACGTCCAAGTGCCCGTGGCTGAAACCAGCGGAACGTTGCAGGCAGGACTACGGCAGCATCGGCACAGTCAGGCATGTACTTAGACAGCCATTGTTGCGGCGGCAGATCAGAATTTCTGGGGCAAGTTCTGCGCGTGAACTTGGTCTGTATTTAGCAAAACTAGTTGCTCCGGCACCGATGGGGTCCTGCACCGCGGCATCCGGAGACACACATTTACTCGTACACACACACACACACACAAGCACACACAAACCGACACCACGCCCGCGAAGTAGGTACATGTAGTTAGGTTAGGTACCGGTGCACGCACACCCCTGCTCCTTCGTGCCGCATGCGGATCGTCCAGCCTTTCCATTTTCTCGGTCAGGCTTTCGCGAACGAGCCCTGCGTGATGCAAGATGACGATGTCGACATGACTGAGGAGCCGGACACAAAGCGGCCGCGCTTCTGCTTACTCCCAACTCCCGTGGCCAACGCCATGCGCACACACAGAATGCTCGGACAAACTGCAACTCTGGGCTGATGGCTGCGATCGGGTTGGACAAAGAATGACAAATCGTACAATACTTTCTGAACGCTGTATAGCTTTGAAACTGCGAGTTTAAACGCAGTCTCCGTTCAAATGGTTTCGGTTGATTCTCATCGCAGAAGTTGACAGCAGGAGTGGCATCTAGTCGCTTCCAGCTGTTTGCATGACATGCGTGGCGCGTGCCACAATTCAGCACAAAGCACGCCGACAAACGGAGGACGAACCCCCGAAGATGCGGCTTTCCGACTGCTTTCTGGTCTTGCTTGCGCAGGGATTATGCCTGGCGAGAGAAAGGTCTGAAATCTTTACGTGTCTCTGCCCGTGGCATCTCGAGAGTCACTCTGCACAATCGGCTCCGTGTGCCGAGGCACACCAACAACAGACTGGGTGGCTCCATCGTACAAGGGTGAGACGCGGTCAGTGCAGCGCTTCCAGCAACTTGGAGCAAGTTCGGTGTTATGAGCAGATGTGAACAAGTGTGAACCCCTCCTTGCTGATTTGAGAGCCAGCTGAAGCAAGTTCATCAGGGACACCAGCACTGCTCCAGCTCGTCAAGGTGCACAAATCAAGGCCGTGCACGCTAATGCTAGCGCAATCCACTGCTTCTGAATATCCTGCAGGATCTAGAGTGGCACGTTGTGAGACCTCGTCCACTCTGGCCTCCCCTCCCCCACAATTCAATCATTGGATGCCCTGAAGAAGTCCATGGTTAAGGGATCCGGCCGAATGCTGCACTAGTTGATCAGCCAGCATTCTAGACTTATAAGAGTTTGTCCAGGGTAGCATCGAGGGGTGGTAGCAGCTCGGCTGGATTGCCGGCGCTGCAAAGCAATCCCTCATCACCAAAAGGGGGCGGTTTGTAGCACTGCTAGGGCCAGCATTGGGATTTTAAATTCTGAAAATATCCAGCGGCTAAATCCTCACATCCCAACCACAAGCAAATCGATAGGACACGCGAGCCGGAAATAACATCGGAGAGATTGAGCTTCTCTTGAAAATGTAGCCGTTCGGTTCTGGCAAACGGGAAGTCTCTCCACAGTTAAAATCAGTCAGATATGTCACTGCAAGTCTGCCACTCAAAAGTTGAAGCGAGAAAAGTAGAAGTATTCGAGTCTGTTCTGTTCGTTTCTGCTCGCTTAAACGAGCGTCTCCAGCTCTTCCTTTCCAAGCGGTCAGGTTCTTGCGGTTCGCGGTTGTTCGTAGTTCGGCGGTTTTGGTTCCGTCGTTCGGCCTTCCTGACAGTGTGGCGCAACCAACTGCCAGTCTCCGGGTCAGTAGCCATTGAACATTCAATGCTTCCGCTGCGCCAGTTTCGATCGGTGGCTGGTAGCCCCGACTATGGCGAGAAGAAGCCTAGCAGTCCTGGCCAGTCTTCGGGCAAGGATGAGGGCAGTTTTGGTGCATTTCTGAGGCTCATGAGTCGCCCGTGGCTCATTAGGAGGAGCTTGCGCACAGCTTTTTCACGTGTGGAGCCTCGATTTTGGCTATCATGATTGACCAGGGTGCATGCAAATGCATCAGGTGCCTGCAGAGCATGCCAATCGGTGTGTTGCAGGAATACTGAATCAGTTAATCAGTTACAAATGCAAAAGCACATGGCGATGAATCTTGTAGGAATTAGTTGTTAGTAGGAGCCAACTGTCGTTTAGCGGACTGACCTGACATGGCAGGCAGAGGCCCTGGTCCAGGTCGGACTGAGGCACACACGCCCGTGAACTTGTTTCATTTCCAGCTTCTGGTGGAAGAGCCCATTGCCCCTCACCCGCTGCACGGCCGATGAAGCAGTCAGAGCACGACTGTGACACGATTTCGATGGTGCACAAAGAAATCGAAGTAAGCGAACTGATTCTTTTTGCAAGGCTTTGAATACAAGTCTCCTTGTGCAGCCTGCCAGGAGCCAATGAAGAACTTGGAGCGCTCGTATCCTGGAGACATGCAGGATGTGCCTTCACTTGATCTAGATCTGCGAGAAAACACAGATCTTGACCCTCGATCTCGTGCCCGAGACCAAAAGATCTTCGAAGCTGTGCGACAGGAGTTCAAGTCCGAGATCGAGAGGTCACTAGCTGGGCAGGATGGGACCACTGAGGTTGACTATGAGAAGGACAGATTCGGGCAGACTGGGGATGACTGGGGTGGAAACATCCCGAATGGTTGCGTCTGGGAGGTCCCCTGAATCAGGCTATCTGCAGTTTCCATCTTACGTACAATGCTGTTGAAAGATGGAGCCCCAAGCATTGCAGCCAGGAGACAGTGACTTGGTCCAGCACCAAGGGTGCCACGATCGTGTTCAGGCCTGAAGTATTTGTGCATGAGGAAAGCCACTTCTGCTCGAACGTGACGTGGGATTGCAGCGATCTCGATGCATGTAGAGGCACGCGAACCACAAGGTGCACATCACTGCGAAGGAGACGAGCTGATGCAGTCAGTCTTGCAAGTTGTTTACAAACTTTTTTGTGCAGTGTGGACTGTTGCAGGTAGTTATGAACTGAACCGCTGCAGGAAGGTCTATGCCGAGTTTACCTGAATGCCTGCACATTTTTGCAAGCGGCGAGCCAAGGCTGGCGGTGTTTTTCCTTCAGCCACTGCTTTTGTGCACTGCCTCTGCCAGGCTCGACAGATTCAGCGATGGAGCGGGGCTCTACCCGGGCCACGGCCTCGACGCTCATAGAAGCTTGCGGAGATTCGTCTGCGATCTGAGTTAAGTACTGACGTCAGTGGTACCATCCATATCCACGCAGCTATCTGTCTCAGGCCGCCACCAGCATTCGCCTCGGAGGTACTAATGGTTACGCCAGCTGGGCGCTGAAGGGGAAAGGGGATGCAGGGAGTTCTGCAGTCGGGGCTTATGGACTTGACTCCTTTCCAGGTTCCAGGGCGCCCAGCCAAGTCTATGCTCCTCCTGGAGCTCGCAGCCCCGGGCTCAGCACATAGGCGTGCATAGGAATCGATGGGTCAAGCTCCTGCGACACCGCAAAACTCATCCGCCACATCTTGATCGGACGGGCTGACCTGCAGAAGCGATTTCACGCAAGCAAATCAGGTGCAGCTGGCTTCTCGAAACCAATGAGTTTGGACGTGCCCTGAGCCGGGGATGAAATAGACATGATTGGACTTGATGCTTGTGAGCTCGTAACACTGCGTCATAGACACTCCTGAAGATATCATAGTTAACAGTGTCCTCAGGCTATTGCTGACAGCAAATATGGCATCGTCTGATCGAAGCACGAGTAGGAAGCGTTGAACCTCGTCAGACAGCCAAATTCTGCACATTGCCGACATAGTCTAAGTTCAGTTTCAATCATTTTCAATCGTGCCCAAGGATTCCATGACCACTCCTTTAAGTCCCCTCCGAACAGGACTGAAACAATGCTCACATTGGCATTACCCAGTAGCTGCCTGTAGGCCCCTGCGCAATCCTGCCATCCCTCGATGTTTGCCCTAGGCCGGTGGCAACAGCACTGTACCCGGGCGATCTGCCACGGCGAAAAGCGCTGACAAGCCGAAGGTGAAGTCGTTGAAGTCTTGCCGTCAGAGGCCCAGGCAAGGAAGTTGTTGATGCAGGTCCCTTATACTCGCGTGGTCTCCATCGACTTCGTCGGAGAGACGTCAGGCGAAGACCTGAGATGTGGAAGAAATTCACAGCCTGCGTGCAGCCGGGCAACTGGCAACGCCATAGAGGGTGACTATGTGGCCACCAGAATTTGAGTCATGCAGGTGAGATGGATCTCAAGATTGGCGACATGATTGAGGTGGTCGAGGTGTTCGGAATGCGTGCCTTGCCGATCAGTTTGGGACGCACCATGCGAGAAATGCCTGCAGGATGATGATGGCGATGCCTTTGACAGATGGGCCAGATGCTGAACACCAACATTAGGTACAGGGACGACAGGATCTTTGTATTGTTTGAAGCTCTACAGCCGATCTTGCAACCGTTGACGGGCTGCGGGATGTGGCTCCGATTCCTCAAAGGTCATGGGCAAAAACCTGAAGACGCAAGTGCTGGGATGGCGCGAGCTGGCATGTTTTCGTCGATCCCAGCTGCTTAGTTTCTTTCGTGCTGAGAGGATTCCCCTAAGCCACACGCGAGGGGTGGACCAGGACAGACCGCGGACAGCGGGGCTTAAGTTCGAGTTGGCTGTTGGCTCTCTGCACAGACTTCTTGCAAAGAGGAAGTCTACATCTTAAGCTAACCTTTTTGATCTTGCTTGCCAGCAGGATGCCTGAGATGGAGATGGAGTCGGAATAGTCCGAAAATAACGGACCGGAATGCAGATTTGGGGGAAGCACAGCAGTGGGTCCCTAAGACGCATCAAAGCAACGAGCTAGCTCAGCCTCCAAACACGCTGTGTGCGTGGCATTGCGTGGCCCAAACGAAGACGGAAACTTCTTCGACGCGAAATTGTGCGTCGCGTTTGTCATTTCCTGGCTGTGTTGCCTGGATGTGAGCTGCGTGAAGTGATGTGTATCTGGTAGCTTGAAGCCAACATAAATAGGAACTTGATTCGCGAGCTTGAGTTTGCTTACGGCTCAAGGAAGCACTGGCTGATAAGTAACGATGACGGTTTAGCATATGTTTGTTGATCGCTGGTTCGCTGAACGTCGTTTAGCCGCGTGTTTTCTTTGAGCCACCCCTGCTTCGATTTTGTAGAGAGAGCTTAGCAACCGATCCTACATTAGTTGCTGGGGATGTCTCTGTCTGCCTCGCATCGCTCTCCTTGCAAAAGAGTGTGCCCTGCTGTGCCATCAACGTCACCCTGACAAGCAGAGTGCCCATCTGGCCACCACTCGCGAAATCTTTTTGGGCTCCAGCTCCGCAGCTGCCGAAGAGCATGTGGCGCATCGGCACTGGCCCTGAAGCTGAAGCGGAAGCGACGCGAGCGCGGAGGCCTTTTCTTTGAAGCTCTAAGGTCCTTCAAGATGATCCTGTGCTCGCCGGAGCATGCGTTCAAGCAAGGCAGGGCGGCAGGGCCTGAGGGCCTAAGGCCTAAGGAGTTCGTGAAAGTTGAAAGGGATCTAAGGGCTTATGTAGGGCTTCTCCGCCGTCCTTTTGCCTCGAAACTTGCCGGAAGTGCCGATTGCTCAAGCTGGGTGGCTCGAGCTCCAGCTCGCAAAGTTCCGGCTATGGCCCTGCATGCGCCGCTTCATCAGATTCTCTATGCCGGACAGGAGCTTCTCGAGACTCGAGCAGGGAACCTTTTGAAAGCATTGCAGGAGTCCGAAGGCCTCTGCACTTCCACGCAAAGAAGTTCCTTGTGAAGGACCGTCGCAATTAGGAAGGCCTGGAGGCCCCTTTGAGCATCAAGCAAGTCTGCCGGGCCCACATCGCGGTCATGGTCGCATGGTCTTTGCGCAGAAATGTGCCGACCCTAGCTCCCTGAGGAACGGATCCGATCGTACGGGACCTTCTTCATCGGGGTACAAGACCGCTGCATGTACTCGCACACCTTCCACTTCAGCTGCCGATTCGCATTGTTAAGCCATTCAGAGTTTGGGATTCTGCGGTCCGCGGACCTGGGCAGAAGTGAGGTGGCAGCGAGCCATTCACCACAGGCTGTACGGCTGTGGTCCAGGTCAAAGTTTTCGGGAGGCCTTGCTGCGCGTCTGCTCCGAGAAGAGCATGCATGCAAGTGTGTGGGGGCGCATGGGAAGGTCCTTGGGCGAAGGCGACGTTTTAATGGACATAAGCGTCGGCCAGCAGTTACTGCGCGAGATCATGGTGCACTACGATCATAAGAACCTCGATGAGCTGGAAGCCGGGACGCATTGAGACTGACAGGGCAGCGGTGGACTCAGAGGTGTTGGCGCCTGGCGGTCCGCTGGCGGTCGCTGAGGAGGAGTTTCAAACGCCTTCGCGTCGAAACACGACGGTGGAAGTCATGGCAGAGGAGCCTTTCGTACTGATCCGAGCCTAGCGATCTCAAGCTTGACCGGAAGGCCGTCCACAAGCGCTTTGTCTCCGGGCTGAAGCAACATTTGGCGGAGGAGCCTTTCCGTGAAGCCAGGGAGTTGTGCAGTTGCAGGTGGTCAATCTATGTGGTCTAAGGAACTTGCCCGGGGTAAAACCCTCGGCTCCATCTCCAAAGTTGAGGTGGTGGTCAAGGACCGGGCCGCAGTCAGTTTCCGGGCATCTTGAGCACAATTGCGTGGGAGGAAAGCGATGTTGCATTTGCCGGCTTCGGGGAAGAACTGAATGCCACCAGCTTGTCGGAATGAGTTTGTCACCGTTCCTGCCCGCGAGACCATTGGCAAAAAAGCAATTGCGCATTGTCGGAGTCGAATCGACCGTGTTTCCGTCCGGGGCGATCGGGGGGGCCAAGTGGTCCGGTGAATAAGAGGATTGGTGCTTCGCGAAGCGCTTCAGTGCCCTGTGAACTCCATACAATTGAGTGCGGATCAGTTTATGGTTTGCATGTTCCAAGCCGTTGGGGGAGCATGTCGGACCCTCACAGACCTGCTACCATGTGTGGCACAGCGCCTGCGGATCTGCAGGCTTTCTATTGCCTGGTCACTGTTGTACCAGCACCGGCCCCAGAAAGCGAAGGATCTCGGCGAAGCACAGAACATGTTTGCCCTCTTCCGCTTTCACATCGCTTTTTCCTTTGCTGAACTGCTTCTCCTTTGCATCGCATCTGTATTTCCTCAATTTATGTATACTCTCCGGACAGGATCCCGGACGCAATGTTTCCGCTAGCTGCCAGGCATGACAAGCATGCGGTACCGCTCCGTTTCGAACGTCTCCGAGGCCAGTGATGTCATACTTCGTCATCGCAGCACTACATCTTGTAAGAGACTCCGAAGTAATTATCCCTTCGCCAGGCCGATGTCGATTCAAGAGGAGCGCAGGGATGTCTTTGTTGCGAGAAGCCATTTTGTCGCGCGTTTCGCGAATCATGCTTCAAGACTTCCACAATTCTGTCAGAACAGAGGAGAGTTGACACAGCCTGCCAGGCGAAGCAGCCGCACAGCTCAGTGTCTGGGGCGAGCGTCTGCTGGCCACAATCTTAGATCACCAGTCGTTGCACTTGGGCTGAGCATGTTTCTTCAGACTGTAGAAGGGACTCCTATCTGGCATGAGTTGCGCAGCAGGGTCGGCAGGGTATCAGGGGCCGGATCGACCTGAGCCTGCTTAAACTGCGCAGTCGGAGTGAAACCCTACTGCTCCCGACAGGTCCGGATCTCCTTCCTGCTTCATCCTACTTCTCCCAGCCCCTGGAGTCTGCTACCTGCGTAGGATAGGCTTTCGAACTTAGAACTGTTTAAGCAGGTGTTGCATTTGCAGCGGACAGCACGTTTCAAGAAACGAAACGCGAAACAGTCGTTGTGGACCTTGTCCAATTTGTCCTTGGGCAGAAGAGTTGGTTCTCCAGTCATCATGCCCGAAATATGGCAGATTCAGACACTGTCCACGGTCCTTCAGGGTAACTTCGTTCCAGATCGAATCTTCACAGATATCCATTACGTCCAGAACCTGTGCACTTTCAGATCCACATCGACACGAGCAGCTGGTCGCGGCGGGTCTCCGACAGCAAGGGTTCCCGATCAGCAGCTGGGTAGGGGTCGCAACAGTTCGGAAACCAGGAAGCAGACGCGGATGTGTGCTAGCTGCGGCATGACCCAGCCCTGTTGCCAGCTTGCCACACAGTCGCAGCTGACACGTCGGCACATTGGCGGATCGAGCTCGGAACATCGTGAAACATAGGGAGACCCCTGCAAAGAGCGTGTCCACAGAAGTTGCCACACAGCCGCCTACACTCTCTAAGAGCTGCATTTCTACAGGCCGAGGCACGCTCTTCATCCTCGACGGAGCTGGAACGCGAGCGCAGCGAGCGCCGCGGGCTCGGCGCTGCTTCCTACTCTATGCCTGCGGTGTTCAAAAAAATCATATCATGTGTTCATGGAAGGGCCCGCAAGATTTTCGTGGCCAGACGGCAGAGCAGACGCCATCGCTTGATGACAACCTGATAGATTCTTGTTTCAAGCCGTTACAGAGCATCTAGGGGACGTAAGCACAATTTCGGAGCCATTGCTGAGTGATCTGAGTGTTGACAGGTCTCGATGCTCCGGAAACACTTGGCAGAGATCTGGAGGCGGCTTCAAAGTGTTTGAGCTGACCACAACTCTTCCTTTCGATCGAGGTCAACGTGTGAGTCGCTTCCAAATCTCGAGTCTTCCGCGTCAGGCATGTGCTCTGGCCGTTGCTGAAGAAGCACCAGAGGCCTTGCACTGAGAACAACAGCCAACATCAGCCAATCGCAAGGCTCAGCAAGGTGGATGCTGAAAGCGGCCTACAAACACGGATTACCATCGGCGGCAATGCAACGTCCGACAATTCGGTGCCAAGTGTCAAGGCCCCAGAACGCCAATGCCAAGTCGTCCAACGAAGACGAATGGATTGCATGCCTGGGTCTTACACGACGGAGTGGGCAATAGCTAGATTCGGACAACTTCGGCCTAGCGTCAGTCCATCTGCCTGGAGGTCAGCATCTACGCAGTTGCCATGACTTCAATGTGTTACACAGCAGTCCACATACATTGCGCCATCTCGAGGTGCGGCATACCCGCTCCGTCTTACAGCAGGGGTCCAAAGGACGGACGCAGAGGGTGCTTGAGTGCCTTCAGAGAAAAGCAACACTATGTCTGTTAAGCCATCTTGCATGAGTCAATGAGCCATGCTGATCCTAAGTGACATGCACCCACTTCAGCTGACATGTTACGCCATGTCGTGAGTCGCTTCGCTTGCAGTTCCCCCGAGCATGTGACGCCGGGCTGCTGGAGGTCTGCGCGTCTCCTTGCTTTCGCGTGCTTGTGTCTCCGCTGGTCTACAGGTGTGAACGGAGGTTTCTGTCGTCTCTATGCTGTGTTTAGCGGGTTTAGCTTAACAGAGATCATGCCCGACCATGCCGCACCCTCGCATCTGCAATCTCGGACCCTGGCGATTCCTTGAAAACCAGATCCAAGAATAAGTTCATGAGCCCATGCGAGGCCTTTCCTGCTGCGGGCAGCTCCTGGTCTTTTTCCCTGCTGCTCGGGACGCATTGGATGCCCTGCGCACCATCCGGACACGCCCGGGAGATCCCGGAAGGCCTCGGCAGGCCAAGATAGAAACGATGGAATTGCGTTGCCAAAGTGCTCAGAGCTGGCCAAGGTTTGGCAGCGCACGGGGCTCAGCAAGTCACAAGCCTGTTCACCCTCAAGCTTGGCTCCGTAAAGATGTGCATGACTTCTAGATTCTAGATTTCTTTGCAAGGGCCCGCTACATTGGTTCTCTTCATCTAGCACCAGCCGCGCTCCTATGGCTGCGCAGAGTGTGTCATCGACCTGGACTGGAGCCATACAATGTGCCAGGTTCGAGACGCGAACCGTTGCGCGGGAAGGACTGACAATGTCAAGACGGTGATGCAGCCAAACAACTGGGCAAACTGCCATGTCGGCTCGAGGTTGTATTCTGGGGCAATCTCCGCGAGGCGCTTCGTTTGGAGTCGTGATGTGCCGTTGTAGACAAAGCTGGAGTCAGGACAGGCTGCAAGATCTTCAGGAGGAGCTGCGCTTCAAACTCGGCAGCTTCAGTATTCTGAAACCGAGCTGAGCAGAGGGCTAAACCGTCGAAGAGCTAGCCAGACTAGGGCGGCATAAGCAGATGCGCGCGCAAGCGCGCGTAGGCAACAGTCGCATGCGCGTAAGGCTTGAGCACCGGCTGCTTTAAAAGACGATGCGCGCAAGGGTATCTTGAGATCTTACGAAGACGACGACTGCTGCTGCTACTGCTCCTGCTCCGAGATCCGAAGCAGCCAAAATCAGTTTGTACACAGTGTTCAGCTCGCGCAAGGCGTGCGGAAGGCACACGCAAGGGGCACTCTCCAACTTCGACCACTCCCCATCCATCTCAGTTCTTAGTAATATTGGCCCCAAACCCAGCCTTGCTATGGTATCGTACGCCGCCAGTCGCATCGGCGGAATAGAATCTCAGCAAGCTATATATCAGGCCTGCACAAAGACCTGAAACGCGCAAGGGCGCCCGCAAGGGCGCCCGCAAGGGCTTAAAGGTTGGAGCAGACTCGAGGGGCCGTGCGCAAGGGACAGTTGGCTGTGCGGAAGCTGCGCGAACCATAATGTTAGTGTCAAAGCATTGAAAAGAGGTTTTGACCGCTACGCAGCTTGTTCAAGCGGCACATTGAGGCGCTTGGAAGTTTGCAAGGCCCCGGGAACGGTGTAAAACCAACTTTTGTTGTGCCTCCCTGGTGGGGCGGGATGCGACATCGAAACGTCATAACCAGAGTCTTGGCAGAAAGGAAAGCTTTTGACATGTCTTGGTTTCTTGAACTGCAATGCTGCAGATGGCGCACAGCCGATGAAGTGCTAAGCGCGCATTAATTAAGCACGGTGCTGTCACAAGAGGCGGAGTGGCCCTGCCCGCGTTTCCCCCGACAGACTCAGTGCCGCGCGGAACGGGAAAGAATGCTGGAAGAGGGACGCCAAGAAGCGTTTGGTTACGGACCGCAATGGAAGACGGGACTTTCGGCGCCGACACACAGTGGAAAAAACATGACGGAGGCCCAAAGGCTGAGGTCGGGCCAAAGGGCTGGGGCCCGGCAAGTGGAGGGAGTATGACCCTCCGAAAAGGCCTTGCGGTTGGTAATCCGATTTTCCCCCTCGTGCCAGGGTACAGAGGAGGAAAGCCGCAAGGAGAGAAGGAAACAATGAAGAAAAGAGATAAGGCTAAGGGGAGGAAGGAGCAGAGCCCCAAGTGGGAAAGCCCGGCTCAAGGCCCCTTCGGCTCCTTGCCTGAACCATACGCAGGAGATGCTGTAAGCCCTCCCCGGAAGGGGCCTTGGGACCAGCCGCCTTCCGAGGTCGCACGCAGGTCATTCGTCCTGTGATTCTGCGCTGGACCCGCAAGTTCCTGTCAGGATCAACAACTACCTCACCTGGCCCTATAGCTTACCCTTTGCGTCTCGCATTCTCGCTGACGCCACGGCCATACTGTTGGTTAACTAGCGGCATGGTGCACAGCGCTAAGACTCGCTGGTCACTTCTGCTACGCTGTCTGCGAAGAGCTCTGGCATACGGGATCATACGGGTAGACAGCTTTTGAGTCTCAGTCGTGATCGAGTTTCGTCCTCTTTGTCCATAACCTTGCTTTCAGTGCCGCATCTTCCCGATGCAATGACTTGGGTGCTGAAGGTCTGGCGCTTTTCAGGGTGCTGACTTCAGCA